TATTTAAGAAATGGTGAACAAGTCATGTGCATTTATGGTGTGATAATGTGCGAGGGCAATGTTGCGAGAATAAGGGAGACTTTTTTTTCTTTTTTTTTCCTTTTTTTCAATGAATTTACTATTACGATACAGACTAATTAAAGACAAATAAAGAGAGATACAAATCGTGACAGGGGAAAGGAACAGGACTCTCGTCCCAATTGACACCTAACCCCTAAAACGTATAAATACACGATCGATGCGTTCTCGACTATTCTCCCAACATTCCCAGCGTGCATTATTTAAGAAATAGAAAATGAGTCGCGTGCGTTTATAGTGTGATAATGCACGCGGGGAATGTTGGGAGAATACGAGAGAAGCGTGTAAAACACGAGGCGTAGCCGAGTTGTGATCTCCCTAATTATTGTGATAATGCACGAAGGGAATGTTGGGAGAATACGAGGCGTACCCGAGTGTTTTACAAGCTTCTCCAGTATTCTCCCTGCTTCCCCCAGTGCATTATAACTTTGTCACACGAGACGAGTTTTTCTATTTATTTTATAATATATGTAGAAGATATTACATGGTAAAAAATTCTGCTTAAAAGTTTGACATTGAAATTCTCCTAACATGTAGCACAGAATACTATACAGAAGTCCATGTTCACTGTTTTTTGCGTAACGCTATTCGTCATCATTCGTCACTCAGCAAGTACCGTAAACAGAAGCAGTCACCCCCCTGGACTTGCGCCATTTTGAGTATTTCCAGGTGGGTAACTGCTTCTGTTTACGGTACTTGCTGAGTGACGAATCATATGACGAATACCGCTTACGCAAAAAAACAATGAACATGGACTTTTGTATAGTATTCTGTGCATGTAGTAAGTATCGTCACGCGCATTGCTTGTACTTGTCGCTTAGCAAAAAGCTTTTCAGGAAAAAATGTACAATATTTGTAGCCAAAACAATAAGATATTTTGATGTTAAAGTTGCTAAAAACAGTTTAAAATGCTGGAAAGAAAAAAACAGTAAGACGCAGATTATAGCTATATCATTTGCTAATGTTTTCCAGCAATCTGGCCCGCTGGATTTGCTATAAAAACCGTGAATTCGGAGTTTTTTTGTCTGTTTAATTTTTGAAAATTATTGCATATTGTATTTCGCCGAAAATATAGCTGTTTTCTACCAGAAGCATTTGAAGCTACTTTCTGAATCACATTTGTTCAGGTTTTGTAGCTTTTTTCTTATCTTTTTCAATTTTTTCTCGACAACAGTTCTATAATTTCACTTTTGCTCAAAACTAATTGAATTGTCAAGACAAAAAAAAAAATTCGGCGAATGCCGACGGCTGGTTATAATTTTTTTAACGTAGAACTATGTAGATAAAATTGCTTTGTTCCCTCGGCTTCGATCTGTTCCTTCTGGCTTTCTGATAGATTTTGCATTTTAAAACTCCTTAGTTTTGTTTATATTTTTGGTTAGAAAGTAAAAATGAAGCTAGAAAAACATTATAGCGTTAATGCACTGTGATTTGTGGCACTGCTTGCATTCCTATCAATGCAAGCTTGTTATTATTGGTATATACACTAGCACTGGCACAGACCGTTCTTTATTATCATTAATGTACGCGCATTATCAAATAAAATTTTTACGCAAGTGAATATAACAAATCCTGCATGTTGATTGGTCAAATTTCAGGTATTAATCTGTTATATTCACCTACGCAGGTGAATATATAACAAAACGAAACTTTCAAATAATGGCGGCTAGTTGTTTTGTGGAAGTTATCTGAATAAGAAATAAGCAATATGTGTTAAAATAAATTCAGTCTCAAAAAACACAAACGACTTGTGTAAAAATACTGAAACAATTATTGCCCTCGGCGAATATTGCTCGATAATCACCTCGCCTTCGGCGAATATTTGTTAAATTTTATATCCTACTTAAATAATTATTATCAGTAAGAAGTAGTTTATATGGACCGACTAATGGACCGAATCTTTTAGCACCTTTTGGAAACACTCATTTATTGCCAATCGGCAAACTGGTCCATTTACACTCGCAAAACCAGTCTGTCTTGTGGTTGGGATGAGAGAACAACGAGATGCCGCTAAACAATCACGTCTAAACACCAGAACTGTATGAATTTTCCACTTTTAAAATTAAACACAAGCTAAGACTCGTAGCTGAAAGCAAAGTCAAAAAGAAAATATAGAATAAAAAAGAAGAATTTTTAACTCAGCTTTACATATATCATCACTCACCCCTTTTTAAACACTCATATTTATCTAACTCTATATGATTTATTATATGGGTCCACGGCATTGACAACTAAAAGTTCTCTGCAGGTTCAAGGTAAATAGTCTACGTCTTTAACAAATCATTTAAAAAGCGATAAGCTAGAAGAACGATTTGCATCAGCAGTAAGTGTGATAATGTCCCAGAGTTTTATGTTTTAGAAAGTCTATAGGTCAATGCAAATTAATTAAGACAATAAAACTTACATACAAACACAAATACTTTGGTTAAGCCATTCACGAAACGTTTTTATTTTCGGTTGCTATTCAGTTATTTGCATATCCAAGTCATTTTCGACATGCAAAAGTTACAAATGCTACTGTACAAGTATAAATCCAAATGCTGCAGTGTTTGTATTATTAAACCAACCACAAATAGCCAGATTACCACATGTTGTGTTTCTTGCATAGATATGACATCCTCTCGCTGAAATACCAAAGCCAATACACGTGTTAGGAGTATCGCAGTCGTTTTGATTATTTGCCACGATACCAATTCGTATTTTCATGTATATGAATCCAGATTCGACATCGCTGTGTCCTTTATGGAAATTATACCCTTCTTTATTACAGTTTTCCTGCAAAGACGATCCGTTGATAAGAGATTTCCATTCGTCCTTTCCAGCAGTTGTGTTTTTAAAGGTGCCGTCTGCGATTTCGTTAAACAACGAGCTTGCCTGTCGGTCGATCACAATCCAGTTTGTTACGTTATTGACTTTCATTCCGAGGCATATTTTGTTAAACGGTGTGTTTCAGTAAGAAGCTAGTTTTGTTTGTTTCTCTGTCAAACCTTCAAGCCCGTCCTCAACGGCGTAGACCATCTTGTTCGTCCAGTAAGAAGAGTTGTAGCTAAAGTCATTCTGAAAGGGAAATGTTTATACTTCGTTGTATATGCTATAAACTCACCAGGGAAAGTGAGGTATAATGGCTGATGAATTGACAGAGAGTGCTCAATATCATATACCGTAGAGCAAGTAGTATTGCTGCATGCTTACCTCAAAACTTGCTACAACCTATTTAATAAAAAATGAATCATCAGGTGGCTCTGATGATTATTATTAGTATTATTATTAATCATCTCTACACTGCTTAACTTGTTCCGCTATTACAATAAATGCTGTACTGATATTACAATATACAAATAATGAATGTTTGTGAGTGCAATGGTAAGAATATTCTCATGAGGTGAAAGATGGAATGTTCCATTCAACGAGGCGACAGCCGAGTTGAATGGAACATTCCATCTTTCACCGAATGAAAATATTCTTACCATTGCACGAATAAAAACATTCATTATTTGTTTTATATAATACCAAATTAGACTAATATTAAAAGTTTACTTAAGCTCCCGCCATTTTGACGAGTCTATTTGCATTAAATCCCATTTACTAAGTTTCGAATATCGGGTTAAAATAAACTGCGATCACCGTACGAGAAGCATTTTGACGGATGCGATATATCGAAAGCACAGAGAGTGCAATGGAACAAAACGTATAGTACAATTGCACTCGCACTCTTGGGAAATGGAATTTTCTATTCAGTATCACGTGACCGTAAACAGCCAATTAAACGATCAGAATTCAATAAGGTATTATATAATAAATGCTGTACTGATACAAGGACCTGTACTGATTCCATTCTTAGTTATTCAAGCTTTAATTAAGGTAAGCAAAGCTATAACTTAGGTTGCCACTACAGCCTGTTAGATCCAAGAAGAGCCACCTGATAACTTAAATAAAACATACTGTAGTGGCAACATTTTGAGGTAAAAACTATATGCACTATTTGCTCTATCTATATGATACTGAGCACTCTATAGTATTTTGTGAACCAAAAGGCTGCGGAATGCGCGAGATACAACTACCTGGAAAACACAAGCTTATATCTGCGTGTATTTTTCCGGTGGTGGTATCTGTCTCAATGCGAAACTGTCCTGCTTTGAACTTATTGAGCTCAGAACAATTCAATAATCCATTCGATCTCTGTGAAATTGACGTCTAATGTCTGTCATGGAGGTTGTGAACAGTCTTCATGCCATTTTTCACAGCTATATTGATCAAGTCCCAAGGATCTTGTTGCTAATCAGCTTATCAGTTTATAAAACAATAATTTTATTTTTTAAATCAAAGTAAAAACACGAAAAAATGGACTCGACGTCAGTTTCCGCCATCTTTTTTCACATTTTACACGCGAGTTTGACTCCAGATAAGGAGCTCATTGACTACTGTTTGCACTACACCACCATGAAAAATTGCAGGATTTTGAGACAATTTAATTTCCTGCTACTTTAATTCATAGCGTAGCAAGAATGTGCAGGTCCAATATAGCGTACTAACCGGTACCTCAAATTAATAAGAACAGGCATATTTACAAGAAGGTTGAGTTGTAAACACAGTGATTTTTTTTCCGTAACCACGCGTGATAAAATCAACACGTCAATGCAGGAGTGCATGTTCGGCTTTACCTTATTACCATCCACTTTCACAACTAGTGTCCAGCCTCCAGGCCCACATCCAGGTATTTCAGTCATGTGACAGTAAATTTGAAATTTCTCGAGTGTAATATTATTTTGTAGTTTGTAAACACCATTGGGGAGTGAACTAAAGAATACGAGATTATTAATAGAAAAGGTGCAAATAAGGTAATGAAATTTAATCTCAATTTATTGGTGCTTAATGACTTTGTCGGTTGTTTCGAAACTGTTATACCTCCTACAGCAATAAGTTTCACGCAATCCTGATTCCAGTTAATATTAAATATTTTCACAGGAGGAAACTGGTCCAATTTCTCAAACAAAACTTCCTGTATTTGATCTGGCCAAGTTATCGGTCTAATCTGTGGCGACAGGGGCGCACATCCCAAGTTTTTTTGTTGGGGGGGGGTGCCTTCTATATATTATATCAGGTATGTAATCTCGTTACTCAGATACTCTATTGAAGTAAATGAGTACAATCCCTGAACAAATTAATGATGTTTTGATTTGGTGACACCTGCATGGTCAGCCAAATCCGGTTATTTCTCTTCTTCTGGAGATAACTCGCGCATACATCACTATATCGCTTCCGTTTCATAGAAGGGTACTGTTGCATAGATAACAGTAGCTATCTTCAAATCTGTATGTTGTGGGGTGTGATGTCGTTTACAAGGTAAATTGTGAGTTATCTCTGATGAAGACACCAGATAGAATTTTCGCAATGTTGGGTTCTGAATGTCATTTGTTCGTGGACTGCGTTAATTCACTTAATAAACCAGTCTGATGTACATACCTGTTTCTCTGCAGTAACTCTTTGCAAGAAGACAGCGGTTCTTGAAAGTCTAGGAAGGGTAAATAATTCTCCTAAGCTAATTTAAAAAGCCATGTATGTGATATGAACCCCAGATATATATAGTTAAAACCATTCAGTTAAACAATTGAATGTCATATCAGCCGATACGTAAGAAACTAATCTTCGATACAATTAGAGACAGTAAAAATGTGGAATTACATTATGCAAAGATCACAATATCTAGGTTATCTTTTAGCCACTGTAACCGCCCAGTAATATTAATTTCATGGTCCTATGTTGGCGGGGGTTGAGTTGTTGTATCTCTTGGTTTACTCTGTAAATATTTTGCCAGAAAATTGGATAACTTGAACACCCTCCCATTATACAATTAAGGTGATCACACGCATTTAACATGTTGCATGGTTGTTCTGCTTTAAGTTTTGTTGTAGGAAATATGCATGTCAGCGTAATCGTACACTATAGAAACATTTGTTAAGGATCAAACTAAATAATGAATATATAAGGTAATTGTGGACATACTTGTTGAACGAGTTGTTGAGTTTATTGATTTGCTTGTTGTTGGTTTGATTGCTATAAAAACCATGCACATTGTGTGAAAAATTAAAAACTAAACAATAGTATGATTGGTTTATTTTCAAGTTATAATTATTAAAAATAGTATAAAATTTGTTTTCAAAGACAAATTAAAGACCGTGACGTAAGTTTGGAATTTGAATGCAAGGCCTTTTCGATTATCAATTCAAGGCCTGGAGTCAAAATCACTAAAATCTCAAATGCATTAATAATTCATCATTAAATTGGACAACCTTAATTCTTTATTTTGCTCACTTGATGATACTGGATACCCTATGAAGAATATTGACCCAGTCCTAGTACTGAATCAAAGTTAGTTCAGCTTACTTTAAGTAGTGATATCATTTCAAATCCCTTGGCTTCGCCTCGGACTTAATCAAATTGCGCGGACTTGAAAATTAATCTAGTCCAGTACTGTGAGTCGGATTTGAAATATTACCGATTGAGACCAATAAAAGATGCATGGGTGTTGCAGGTTTGTAATTGGATAACTTGGTTAACCTCTCATGATGCAATCAACGTGATCACGTGCATTTAACATTTACCAGCAATGTATACGGTATAATGTTTGTGATGTTACTCTGAGTGTATATCCACAACGGGCATGCTTTAAAAATATGCCCACCGTCGCCAGGCATATTTTTCAAGCTTTCCCGGTGTGGATATACACTCAGAGTAACACCACAAACATCATATTCATCTGAGTACATAACAACAACACAGAAAAAAAACAACAATGTATATAATTTCTAAACCTCCCATTATGCAATTAAGGTGATCACATGCATTTAAATTGCTTTCAATCTTGCCGTAGGAACTAGGAAACATGCAGGTTAACTTAATATCGAAACATTAGTTAGGAAAAAAACTAAATAATAAGGTTTTGCTATCGCGATAAGTTAGTCCGTATTAATATAAGTACAAATATTTGTTAGAATTGATACTATATGCAATGAATGGATACGTAGGGTAATTGTGGACTTACTTGTTGGATAAGTTGTTGCGCTTATTGCTTTGGTTGATGTTGGTTCAACTGCTATAAAAACCACATTCGGCACATTGTGTAAAAATATTAAAAACTAAACAATAGTATGATTGGGTATTTTTCGAGTAGTTATAATTATTAAAATAGCATTGGATTTGTTTTCAAAGACAAATTAAAGACCAGATATAGGTTTGGAATTTGAATGCGAAGCCTATATTGATTTAGTAATTCAAGACCTGGAGTCAAAAATTAAAATCGATTGAGAAAAATAGAAGATTGGTGTTGATAGGTGGGTAAACCTCCCATGATGCAATTTAGGTGGTCAATTGCATTTAATATGTTGGCTGAGGTGCTTTAAATTTTGCATTAGGAAATATTCAAGTCAATTTAATACACTGTTATTAGAAAAATGTTTACAGGAACAAAATTAAACAATGAATGTATAGGGTAATTATGGGCTTACTTGTTGGACGAGTTGTTGAGCTTATTGTTTTGTTTGGTGTTGGTTTGACTGCTATATAAAAACCATGCACATTGTGTAAAAAAATTAAAAACTACACAAATACTATGACGGGTTTATTTTCAACTTATATTTATTAAAAATAGTATAGGAATTGTTTTGAACGACAAATTAAAGACCTGATGTAGGTTTGGAATTTGAATGCAAGGTTTATATCGTGTTTTGAATTATCAATTCTAGACCAGGAACCAAGAATCAAAACAGATTGAAAACAACTGAAGATGCATGGGTGTGGTAGGTTTGTCATTGATAACTAATTGCTAGTCCTCCCATGATGCATTGAAGGTGTAGATCACATGAATTGAAAATTTAACAACAATGCACCTACATAGTTGCCAAACATCCGTTATGCAATTAATTTAAGATGATCACATACACTTAACATATTGGTTAAGCTGCTTCAAATTTTGCTATAGAAACTAGGAACTATATGCACTTTAACTTACTATACAGGGTGTATAAGAAAATCTGCACCCTGTCATGATCAAATTCAATTAAATTAACCGTAATTGCTGCCGTAGGCAGCTCACTATTCTTGACAACTGATTTTGACGTTATGACTCGTGCCAGTTTCCCTGACCGAGTTATAACGATGCAGCTTGATTCAAAATATAGAAGAAATTTGGATTTCTGATGGCCGGTATTTGCTCGTAAGTCGCCGTAAAGCTCTCGTTCTGTACTTTCCGCCATGATGAAAAATATAAAAAACGATAATTATTTCTTCACAAATGAAAGACAATAATTTTGTTAGAAAATTATTTTTTGCAGGTACGTTTTAGCCAATTATTAGTATACGGTGTTGAAAACGTTTACTTAGTAGTAATAAGTTTATATTACCGTTTAAATATCATGACAGAATGATGCAGACATGTTCAATGTTGGCAAATGTTGTTATGATTTACGAAGAGAAACGTGAAAATGATTGAAGACTTGATATTAAGGCTCTGCTCACAGGCACAAGGTATATAACTATTAACTCAACCACGAAGGAAAACATCGAAATGACATATAGTGTTGTATAGTGTTGTATAGTCTCGTATAACGTTGTATATTCTTGTTTAGTTTTGTATAGTCTTGTACAATAGTCGTCTATAGTGTAGTATAGTGTAGTATAGTGTTGTATAGTCTTGCATAGTGTCATATAGTCTTGTATAACGTTGTATAGTGCCGTACAGCGTCGTATAGCCTTATATATTGTTGTATGGTCTTGTATACTGTTGTATAATGTTGCATAGTGTCGTTTAGTGTCACATAGCCTTATATAGTGTTGTATAGTCTTGTACAACATTGTATAGTGTTGTATAGCTTTACATACTGTTGTATAGTTTTGTATAACGTTGTATAGCGTTGTATAGTGTCGCATAGCCATATATAGTGTTGTATAGTTTTGTATAAGGTTGTATAGTGTCGTATAGCCTTATATATATATATATTATTGTATAGTGCCGTATAGTGTTCTATAGTCTTGTATAATGTCGTATAGTCTTGTATAATTAACATTGTGTAGTATCGTATAGCCTTATATATAGTGTCGTATAGTGTTGCATAACGTTGTGTAGTGTTGTATTGTCTTCTATAGTGTAGTACAGTGTCATGTATAACTTGTATAGTGTCATAATTTTTATAGTCTTGTATAACGTTGTATATCCGATACAACACGGCCGCTCATGTTGTAAATAGTACATATAGTGTTGTATAGTGTCGTATATAGCCTTGTATATTATTGTGTAGTGTCGTATAGTGTTGTACACTCTTGTATAGTATCGTATAGTCTTGTATAACGGCATAATAGATAGCTTAAGATCTAATAGCTTAAGATAGCTTAAGACAGCTAGGACGTCAGGGCGTCAGGCTATAAAGCAGAGGACTGGAACTATGACGTCGTCCTAAATAAATAAACTTCCACTTAAGATTCACGACGTAGACATTTAAACTATAAATATTTACATCCTTTTGAAGATGAGTTTAAAAGAAACGTGTGAATCCATTACTGTTTGTTATGTTCTTGTATCCACGACGGTAAAACTCTTGTTGTGAGGTTGTCGACGTTTTGTGGATGACGAGCAAATTGAGAGAGACACATGCACACTTCAAAAACTATTACCAATTTACTTCTGCTTGCCGCCCTAAATATTTGACGTCGGAGCAGTCTCGTTCCCTGAGCCTGCGGTCCTTGGGAAGGAAACGAAGGCTCTGGGATAATCCGTTTCCGGGAGGAATCTGATTGGCCGTTGATATGGAATGTGCAGTTCAATCTTAGCCAGAATTCCTGGCTTTCGGCAACGGATTATCCCAGAGCCTTCGTTTCCTTCCAGAGGATCGCAGGCTCGGGGAACGAGATTGACGTCGGAGATACTTGAGCTATCGACTTATTTAGGACGCCGTCCCAGTCCTCTGCTTAGCCTTGACGTCCTAGCTGGCGTCGACGTCGTAGATCTTAAGAGGCTGTCTCTCTAAGAACCGACCAATCACTCTCGGCTCAAAAAATTAAATTCTTCGTTACTTTCACAATGAAATGTATTTACCCCAAGAACAAACAAACACTATTTGGAATTTGGAATTTTTACTAGTTTTTAAAATTTCAGCGATTTTTCGGTCCCGCGCCGTCGCGCAGAAACCTCTGCCTATATATCAGGCATAGAAATTAGCCGAATAATTCAAATACGTATAATTTTAAACGTATTCAACCAAATTTTATGATTTTTTCACCCACCAACGTGAAAATTATTCTACTTTGAAACTGGCCTTGTTTTATGATGCTTTTACAGAACGGTTATGGCAAACTTTAGCGATAACAAGCACCGGGTCTAAATACGGCTTTGTACGGCTAAATACGGCTTTGTACTTTAAATTTCTCAAAAGTGGCACCTAACTGGATTCAGTGACTAATACGGTTAAAAAAATGGAAGTTTGAAGTACCAATATCCATAATAAAACTTGTTACCAACCGCAATTTGATGACTCGACAGCCTCTGAAATTTGATAAAATTTGGCTATTTTGTTTAGCTTCAATTATGGCGGAGTTGAGACGTCAGAGCTTCCAGTCACTTGTAAAATGCTCTGTTGTTCCGTTTTTTTTTACACAAGCCGTTAACATCATCGTAGTTAAGCGATCTTTCTGTGTTCATGAACATCACAAGTGGATTTAATTAAAAAAGATTTCGATCGATGCAGCGAGGTAAACGTGGTGCGTTTTCGTATCAAAATTAGCTACTCGGGGAAAACCCGGAAATTATTGTCCATGCTGATATCTATTCATGTAAACTATGTATGTCTATTCTGCACGATTGGAAATGAATTTAAAGCCTGGTTCACATAAAATCGTTAAGCAGTCGCAGACAGTCGCAGACATGTGCCCAATTTTTATATGAACACAAATGCAGATTCGCACAGACTGTCTGAGACCGGATCGGCGACGGATCGGGAAGTTGAACTTGGTTCAACTTTCCCGATCCGTCGCAGATCGTTCATATAAAAGTTTGGAACATGTCTGCGACAGTCTGCGACTGCTTAACGATTTTATGTGAACCAGGCTTAAGAGGCTCTAAGAACCGATCGACCAATGGCTCTAGGCTCAAAAAATGAAATTCTTCGTTACTTTCACAATGAAATGTATTTATCCCAAGAATAAACAAACACAGTTTGGAATTTTGAAATTTTATTTATTTTTAAAATTTCAGCGATTTTCCGTCGCGCAGAATCCTCTGTCTGAGTAGGCATAAAAATTAGCCGAATGCAAATACATATAATTTTAAAAGTGCTCAACCAAATTTTATGATTTTTTCGCCCACGAACGTGAAAGTTATTCTACTTTGAAACTTAAATGATTTTATGATTCTTTGATTCTTTTACAAAACTCATTACGGCAAACTTTAGCGATAACAAGCACCAAGTCCAAATAAGGCTTTGTACACATATCAAATTCGACTTTAAATTTCTCAAAAGTGGCTCCCAACTGGATTCAGTGACTAATATGGTCGAAAAAAGGGAAGTTCGAAGTACCAATATCCACAATAAAACTTATTACCAACCGCGATTTGAAGACTTCAGAGCCTCTGAAATTTGTTACCTTCAATTATCGCGGAGTTGAGACGTCAGAGCTTCCAGTCATTTGTAAAATGCGCTTTCGTTCCGGGTTCTTTTGCACAAGCCGTTAAGCGATTTTTCCGTGTTCATGAACATTAAAGTTGTTTTAATTCGAAAAGATTTGGCTCGATGCAGCGAGGTAAACGTTACAGCGAGGTAAGCGAGGTAAAATAGAGTCATTGCTAATTTTGGCACTTCCCGTCATATAAACAGTTTAATCGTGCAACAATTACTGCCATTTATTAGCAGAAAACCAGAAATATGACAAATTGTCTTGTTTCTATGGCTTCTCTTCCGTGTAATGCACAGCAATACATTAGTATATATTTGACAATTTCGATTCCCAACTATATCCTCACATGATACTATACTCCTTATAGGGGTAATTTACGCATTAATTAACATTCCCCATTTTAAATACATCGTGAACAGTTTCTACCATTATTCTGGCCGACGTTTCATATAAGAATCCCCACATGCCCTGGCCTACCCACACCCCCAGTACGACTCTGCCCCAAACCCAACCCTACCCCAACCTCGTTTTTTTGTGACGTCATTTGAAACTCTTGTATGAAAACAAACTTCACCCTTTATTAGCTCTCCTTAAACAAATTCCAGGTGAAGTTGATATAAACGTCCTCAAATGACATCACAAAGAGATGGGGTGGGTGTAGGGTAGAGGTCAGGATAGAGTTGGGGTGGGGGTCAGTTGGAGACTATTCCATATATGACTCTTCTATTAAATTCCAGTCAAACCCTGGTTAAAACACTAATCAAAACCCTTATTCAAACTATGATCCAAATCCAATTCAATTGGCATGCACGATTGTAACTGGAACTTTTTATAATAATCAGTATCTATAGTAGTCTTCTAGATCAAGTCTTTTTTCCAGTTTAAATTCATTTCCAATCGGGCAGAATAGACATACAGAGTTTAGATTAATAAATATCAGCATTGACAATAATTTCTCGCTGCATCGATCGAAATCTTTTCGAATTAAATCCACTTGTGATGTTCATGAACACAGAAAAATCGCTTAACTGCGATGATATTAACGGCTTGTGTAAAGAAACGGAATAACAGCGCATTTTACAAGTGACTGGAAGCTCTGAGGTCAAAACTCCGCTATATTTGAAGCTAAACAAAATAGCCAAATTGTATCAAGTTTCAGAGGCTCTCGAGTCTTCAAATCGCGGTTGGTAACAAGTTTTATTATGGATATGGGTACTTCAAACTTCTCATTTTTAACCATATTAGTCACTGAATCCAGTTAGGTGCCACTTTTGAGAAATTTAAAGTCGAATTTGATATGTGTACAAAGCCGTATTTAGACTCGGTGCTTGTTATCGCTAAAGTTTGCCATAACCGTTCTGTAAAAGCATCATAAAACCAGGCCAGTTTCAAAGTAGAATAATTTTCACGTTGGTGGGTGAAAAAATTATAAAATTTGGTTGAATACGTTTACTATTATATGTATTTGAATTCGGCTAATTTTATGCCTGATATAGGCAGAAGATTTTCTGCCCGACAGCGCGGGACCGAAAAATCGCTGAAATTTTAAAAATTAATAAAATTTCAAAATTCCAAATTGTGTTTGTTTGTTCTTGGGGTAAATACATTTCATTGTGAAAGTAACGAAGAATTTCATTTTTTGAATCGAGAGTCATTGGTCGGTTCTTAGAGAGACAGCCTCTTAAGCTATCTAATAACGCTGTCTAGTGTCGTATATTGTCGTATAGCCTTATATAGTGTTGTATAGTTTTGTATAACGTTGTATAGTGTTGTATAGTGTCGTCTAGTCTTATATATTATTGTATAGTGCCGTATAGTGTTGTATAGTCTTATAAATGTCGTATAGTCTTGTATAATTAACAATGTATACGTATAGTATCGTATATGACGTATAGCCTCATATAGTGTTGCATAACGTTGTGTAGTGTTGTATAGTCTTCTTTAGTGTAGTATAGTGTCATGTATAATCTTGTATAGTGTCATAATTTTTATAGTTTTGTATAACGTTGTATACTGTTGTATAGTGTCGTATAGTCTTGTATAACGCTGTATGGTGTCGTATAGTCTCGTATAGCCTTATATAGTGTTGTATAGTCTTGTATAACATTGTATAGTGTTGTATAGCCTTGTATAGTGTCGTAAGTGAACAACTTAACCCAAAGTTTTGGCCCCGAGGCAGCACTTTCCTTGCGTTAGTAACTTCTAGTCTTTTGTTGTAATTTGACAGCCGTATAATTTCTCGAATTAATGAATGCTTGAAAACACAAGGTCTTCTGCACATGGGAATTTAGGATAACTTCTATTTGTATGAACAAATACACAACTCGAAGAAAAATGCTAATTAAGCATTATTCAAGTCTGCATATAAGATATTAAATGGGCCAGCTTACTGCAAAGCAACGAATATTTAAAAGGTTTAAAAGATTATGGGCGTGGCTAATTTGAAAGGGTGCACATTATTTTAATACACCATGTAGAAACAATTTTAAGGAAAAAAACCTAAACAATCTATAAAGTAATTTTGTTCCACTCATGAGATATATAATCCGAGTACAAACATTTGTCGGGAATGAAATTAAACAATCTATATATATATACGTAAGGTGTAATTGTGGACTTACTTGTTGAATGATTTGTTGAGTTTGTTGATTTTATCGATGTTCGTTTAACTGCTACAAAAACAGCATTGTGTAAAAAATTAAAAACTAAACAATAGTATGATTGGTTTATTTTCAACTTATAATTATTAAAAATAGCATGCATATAGGATTTGTTTTCAAAGACAAATTAAAGACCAGATGTAGAGCGTTTGCACATAACGTCACAGCCGCCATGTTGGTGCTCCAATTCAAAAGAATTTTAAATAGACTCTTTTGTCTGAAACACCAAGATGACCGCCATGGCTTTTGTTGAGTTGGTTCCTGGGGAATGAGTGCAAACGCTCTATAGGTGTGGAATTTTATGCGAAGCCTATATTGATTTATCAATTCAAACCTGGAGTCAAAAATTAAAATCGATTGAGAACAATAGAAGATTGGTGTTGATGGGTGGGTAAACCTCTCATTATGCAATTAAGGTGGTCAATTGCGCTTAATATGTTGGCCGAGCTGCTTTAAATTTTGCATTAGGAAATATTCAAGTTAATTTAATATACTGTTATTAGAAAAATTTGTTAGGAACAAAACTAAACAATGAATTATAGCCGGGTAATTGTGGACTTACTTGTAGGACGAGTTGTTGAGTTTGTTGTTTTCAACGGTTTTCGTTTAACTGCTACAAAAAACAGCGTTGTAAAAGCGTTGTGTAAAAGATTAAAAACTAAAAAATAGTATGATTGGTTTATTTTCAACTTATAATTATTAAAAAGAGCATAGGATTTGTTTTGAAGCATTTGTTCCACTTAGCGCACGTTCAGTTGCTATGGAGATAAGATATATAATCCGAGATAAGTACAAACATTTCGGTTAGGAATGAAACTGAACAATGTACACGTCGATAATTGTGGACTTACTTGTTGCATGACGAGTTGTTGAGTTAATTGTTTTGTTAAGTGCTATAAAAAACAGATTGTGTAAAAAATATTAAAAACTAAACAATAGTATGATCATATATGTATGGTATATTTTCAACTTATTAAAATTATTTCGAGAATGAGAAATAAAACGTGGAAGGAATTGAACTATGGACTAGTACTCCTAAATCATATACGAACAGCACTGCTAGAGAAAACAATAGTTACTTCAAACCTCAACTTTCCTTTCCTTTCCTTTCGGGATTCACATTCTGGACAAGCTGGAACTATTGACTTATATTCAATCATGGTCAAAATTCATTCGATTGCCGAACTTTATTTGGTCAATTTCTAAACTTTGTAACTAATTGTTTACAATTTGTACAAAGATCGAATATCTTCGCCACCTGCTCACAAAACTTTGGCTTCTGAAACATGGGGGAAATCTTTCATTTCGTCTAGCAAATATGATACTTTTTGTAAGTACTTGCACACCTATCCGTAAACATTTGGTCACGTCGGTCTTTTCTTGCGCGATTTCAAATTCCATTTGGGCGCAAAACGCACTCCAAATATACAATCGCGATATATTTAAATTCGTGAGACGTTCCGCTGCATGTATGAAGTACTTGATACATATGACCGTAATAATTAGCGATGATTTTTTTAGGAATAAAACTGAACAATTTTAATTTGATAAAGTAATTGTGGACTTACTGGTTGGACGAGGTGTCAAAGCCTTTGTTTTATATACTCGCTGTGCTGAGTGGTTATATTACTACCTTAAAAAATATGCAGAAACTCGATGTTTCGAGCGAAGGCCCTTCGTCAAGAGTTAGTAGCTACTAACTCTTGACGAAGGGCCTTCGCTACTAACTCTTCACGAAGGGCCTTCGCTCGAAACGTCGAGTTTCTGCTTATTTTTTAAGGTAGTAATATGACTACTCAGCACAGCATTTCTACATTGGTACTACCTACTGGTACAGACAGTTTTTGTTTTACTCGGCCTATGTTCAATTGCTATGGACATAAGATACATAATCCGAGTTAGGTACAAATAAAACTTATTAAACAACGCAAATATATGCCTACAGGTTAATTGTGGACTTATTTGTTGGACGAACTTATTGTTTTGGTCGGTGTTGGTTTAACTATATAATAATTAAAACAACATTGTATAAAAAGATTACAAACTAGACAATAGTTTTTTTTTATTGATGTATGGTTTATTTTCAATTTGTAGTTATTAAAAATACTATAGGACAAGTTTGAACGACAAATGTAAGACTTGGAATTTAAAGTAAAGACCTATACCGTGTTTCATGAAAGTGTACGCTTGGAGTCAAAAACCAAGATCGTTTGAGAACAGTAGAAGATGGGTGTGGTAGGTCTATTATTGGATAACTTGTTAAACTTCCCACTATGTAATTAAGGCGATTACATGTACTCATTTAACCTTGCTGAGCTGCTTTAAATTTTGCTGTACGAAATGTGAAAGTTGACTTATATAGAAATATTTGTTAGAAATATGTAGAAATAAACAATGTACATAATTATTATAGTCTAAGATTAACTGCATGTGGACGTACTTGTTGGAGGAGTTGTCGCAATCTTTGTTTCACTCAGCGTACGTTTAATTGCTATGGAGATAAGATATGTAATCCGAGTTAGGTACAAACATTTGTTTGAAATAAAACTGAACCATTTTGATATATAGGGTAATTGTGGACTTACTTGTTGGACGAGTTACAATTGTTGAGCTTATTGTTTTGGTCGGTGTTGCTTTGACTGCTGCAAAAAGCGCATTAAATGTAATGTAAATGGTTAAAGATTAAGAAAGATTAAAAACTATAAACAACAGTATAATTATATGTATGGTTTAGTTTCAACTAAAGATTATTAAAAATAGTATAGAATTTGTCATGAACGGCAAACCAAAGACCTGATGTAGCGGGTTTGGAATTTGAATGCATGACCTACAGGTACACAGTATTTTGATTTATTAATTCACAAATAAATCACAACGTGGAATCAAAAATCAAAACAGATCGAGAACAATAGCACATGTATGGGTGCGATATGTGTATGACTTGCTAAACCTTCCATGTTTTTGATGTAAAGTGATCACATGTTATATTTGAAATTTTAGTTGAACTATCTTAAATCTTGTTATTGAACAGTTTTTTTACATTTATGTTAAAACTTATACAGTTTAGAACAAAAAATATAACTAAATTTATAATATAAGTGGGATATAACAGACAATTTGATTGGCTAATGCTCGTGCATTGAGACGCAATAATGCACTGTGTTCCGTGGTACTGCTTGCTCTTTCTGTGTTTTCCCCCTGTTTCATGATTTAGAAAGTACCTTCAATGCTTCTGATAAAAACTGCCAGATATATTTTCGACGAAAGGCAAAAAATACAATAATTTCAAAATTAAAACTGAGCAACACGACGAAACCTACGATTTAACGTCCATCATGGCAAATCCGGCAGCCCGAATGCTGAAAAACGTTAGCAAATCACTCTGTGTATCACTGGGGTCCCCCCCCCCGCCCTCCAGCATTTGAACCGTTTCCCGACAATTTTAGCATCAAAACTTTCTCAAAAATTTTGTATTGTTTTTGCTCCTTTGAATTCGCTCGCTTGAAAATTCAAGCGACAGCATTGTAAAAGCATGCGCGTGACGTCAAAATCATATTACTAGATTACATTGGTATCGAATGAACTAGATTCTGTTCCGAAATATCGCATACTCGAACCGTCCTGACCGCGTAGCTCAGATGGCAGAGCATTGGGCTAGTATTCCAAAGGTCGTAGGTTCGATTCCCACCGTGGCCGGGCATATTTTTCAAGCTCGCCCGGTGAGGATATACACTCAGAGTAACATCACAAACATTATATTCACCTGAGTACACAACAACACCAACACGGAAAGTCACCGAGTACATGTTAGGAGAATTTTAAAGTTGATCTTTTGAGTAAAATTGTTTACTATGTACTATCTTCCACTTATATTATAAAGAAATAGAAAAACTTGTCTCGTGCGTTTATGGTGTGCTAATGCACTCGTGAAATGTTGGGAGAACACTCGAGAAGCGTGTAAAACACTCGTCTACGCCTCGTGTTTTACACGCTTCTCTTGTATTCTCCCAACATTCCCCGCGTGCATTATCACGCCATAAACGCACTCAACTCGTTTTCTATTTCTTAAATATATACATGTCTTTGAATAATTAAATGATGGACCACTAAATGATCGCCACAAAAACAGTCATTTTAAAAGGATTGCCTCAAAGGACGTAAATAAAATGAACTATGTAAACTTTAAAAAGATTGTAAACCACGAAACTGTATTTATTAACAACGAATTTCTGTATATCTTATAGTCAAAACTATTAATCCTCTTCTTAAAAAACAACTAGAATTTGTTTCATTGCTTAACTTTTTTTTTAGTCTTAATTTTATTTTTTCAGAAAAGCAATAATTCCACTCCATGCAACAGCGCAAAATTTTTTGCTATTAGAAGACTGGAACGAATAAAAATGGGACCAGTAAAAAAATATTTAAGGCGATAAAATTTCACTAAACAAAATTGGAATACGCGCATTCTACATGTATTTTCCTATAAATCGTATCAGGATCATTTTATTTTATAATATTGGTAACTTACTTGTTCGCAATTTTTTCGATATCTGTGGAGTACTTGACGGAACTGGTTCTGGAGATCTCTTCAAAAAATTTAAGAAAGCTAAATTGCAACTACTTGATGTGATATAACTATGTTTTAGCATTTCCCATTAAATATTTAACAGTGTACCGATATGCTAATCAAGTTTTCTGACTGTATGCACATCGTAAGAATGTTCAAACTCCCCCAGTGTTTTAAAAAGCGTGTAGCAAAAGAATATAGCGAATCTAATATGCTTTAGATTCCCACATACAGTATAAGTATCTGTGGATGTCTCAAACGACGAAAGAACAATCGATTTAAATTGTCGAAGACTTTTTAATCATAAATTTAGACATCTGTTTCAGTGTATACATTGTATATAATTCATAGGAATTATCGTTTAATATACATGCATGCATGCACATATTTTATGAAGGGTGCACTCTCTAAATTATTGCATATCCACTTGAAAATTGGTTTCCTTAAAGAGCGGCCATCTGCTTGTCTGGTGTTCTGAAGTAATAAAAGTGAGTTCATTCGAATTTCACCTGATGTGCACTGCATGGTGTTTAAAACCATAGTCTTTCAAAACATGGCTTGAAAACTCCGCTAAAGTCTTTGTTCTATCTTTTTGTTCGCGTTTATGCAGTTTTGTGCACGGTGCACGGTCAATGAACATATTGTATTTCAGTATAATGAAGGAATCATCCAATAGCAACGTTTCAGTTCAGTCATTCAACCATGCTATTTAGATTTTAGTAAACTTGCACGTGTAAGTACGGTTCAACAAAAACTCTCAGCTCATTATAGCCGCTTTGAAGTTTACTGAGTTTCCAGACCATGTCTCGAAAGACTATGTTAAAACTGAACGGATTACGTCCATGCACATATAATATTTGCATGTATATTTATCCAGAAACGTTTGATCCTAATAACATATGTAGCTATATTTTAATAAATCGATGTATCTGTATAAACATTGTACTGAATCAGAAAGAAGAACACTATGGTGTTGCGTAAAACCACTGATAAATTACATAGAAGACAACTGGAAGTAGTACTGTCGTTATTAGAGTTTTATTTATACACCAAGAGTCTATATATCATTTGATGCCAAGTTACTGTTAAGATTGAGTGTTATTTGTATTACTATTATTATTATTAAAGGTTTATTAAACAACACACTTTCGTACCAAAAGGGGCATTGAAATATGGTTACAGAATACAGTATAAAATACTGTAGGTATAGAATATAAAAATATCAAATATATATATATAAGTGGTTAACATACTAAACAAGTTATTATAAGCACTATTAAAATTAGCAGTTATTGCTGGAATAAAGGCAGTTTTAAAACGTCTGGTACTACATTTTATTAAAGTGCCTATGTCACTTGTGGGACCTTTATGCATGGGTTTGAAAAGAGCGTAAAAAGTTAGTTAATAAGTTCAAAAGATTTTTTTTGATATAGTGGAATAGTTTTGAGGATATAGGCCTTTAAACAACGGACTGTCCCTGAGTCCCGGCCTCCTAGGCTCAAAACACGGCTATTGAATTTGGCCTTTTTCCAAACTGTCCATTGTGCATAGGAGCCTGGGACTTAGGGACTGTAGGTAGTTTAGAGGCCTGTATCTTCGAAATTATTGCACTAAATCAAAAAATTCTTTTGAACTTGTTAACTAACTTTTTACGCCCTTTTCAAATCCATGAAGGTCCCACAAGTGATATAGGCACTTTAATGAAAAGTTAGAATATATTCTTAAATTAAGTCTCGCGATTGTGCGTCTCTTCACGGAGTGGAGGTAAAAGATGATTAAGACGAGAATCGAGGTGCATGGTGAAGATTTTTAAAAGATTTAGCCAGGGGCGTCGGAGCGGCTTGAAAAGTGGGGGGGGACTCTTAGGGACCCCAAAGGCGAATGACAATCTAGGGGGTTCGGGGGCATGCTCCCGGAAATTTTAAATATAGAGTCTCTGAAATGCCATTTTCTGCACTTTATAAGGACATTTACAGAGTTCTAAAGGTAACACGATGTCATAAAATATCTCAAATTATTTTGTCCACACCCATAACTGAAATAATATCAATTAACTTTGTGGTTTATTATGGACCATTGTTAAAAGGAGGGCAAAGACATTTAGCCCCCCTGACCTAAAACAGTTGGGGAGAGGTGTAGCCGCCCCCACCCCTACGACCCCCGCTTCCGACGCCCCTGGTTTTAGCGCATAACTCTTGGCGTCTGTCGTTAAGGCGCTTGCATTGAGCAATGTTAAGGGCATGTTCGTAATCTGTTGTAGGGTATATTATGCGGAAAGCTCGTTTCTGGACGTTTTCAATTTTATCCTCCGGACACTTTGGTAACATGCTATGCCAAACAGGCAGGTATCGCAGAACCGGGGGGAAATGGGGGCATGTGCCCTTGACCCTCCCACTTTTTTTAAAAGTGAAAAAGTGCCCTTTTTCTGGGCTAAAGTGCCCCATGCAAAGAACGAAAAAAATATTTCTTGAATGAACGCCCTCTTTTGCTGGAAAGAAAGTGCCCTATTTTGCAATAGTAAAGACTTTGTAAAGGCCATTTCCGACGTTATATAGAGACTCCATGTTTTCAAAAATTTTCGTTCGGCTCGTGAACGACATAAAATCGTTTGGTTTTGGTCATATACAAAAGTGCCCCTTTTGGCCAATGCCTCTGCAAACTGTACAGGTGCACTCAAGGATTGAACGGACTATAGAAAAATAAACCAATAAGGGTCACTATAGGAGGAAGGCCACAGCGCTGTAGAACACGAATAATATGTATAGGCGCTTTGAGGATTTTTTGACAAAAACTTCAGCATTACCTTGCCATTTTAATTTGTCGTTAACGGTAATGCCCTGAAAGTTTGAATGAAGAGAATAAGCCAAGTGGCAGTTCGTCAATATGGAGTCGGGGAATTGGCAGCAGAATAGAATAATTAAGCAGGTGATCAAAAACAAAATGAACAGCAAATTATCTTCAATAACTCACTGAAACCATGGATTGATATCAACTACATATTTTGTAGCCTAGGCTATAATACCAACGGAATACCAAAATATATAAGTTTATGCCGTTCCGTCAAGTATTTTACCGCACACGGAATAGCAAAAGAGCGTAAATGTCGACCTCTGCGCGATATTCACATTCACTTCATAAGTATATGACAAGCTTAGGTTGTCATACGAAAGAAATTTATTGTCAATATATACGTAATATGTTGAGTGAGGAAAAGTATTTTGTTAAACGCTGCCCTATAATTTTTAGTTTTCAATTTCACACAATTGTTATTTGAAAAGCATTGTTCAGATCTCGGACCGTGCACAAGCCTATAAACAGTTAGATTCCAAAATGTTATTGTGCAGCCATTTTTGCACGGTCTAATCTTTATACATACTGTAGTAAAAAAAACTCCACGGGGTGGACCATTGACTTTTTGTTGAGTCAAACCGCTGTAAGCAGAACCGATCAGAAGTTTTAGAGACCAAAAACATGCACACAAAAGCTTTTATCAATAATACATACAGGGTGTATCAAAAAAAGCGCAATCCTCGACTGAAATGTAAATTGCTAAACAAATAATATACGAAAACGTTAAAGTTTACATTCATTTTAAAGCGTAGCCATTCAGCTTTCTAACAGTGGGTTGTTTCTTAAATTTGATTCATTGGTTCGCGGGTAATAATACTTTACGTTATTGCGATTGGAGATTAAAAAAATTGAGATGGAATAACAAATCGTTCTCATGAAAATAACTGATTTTTTTCATTAAAACAAAAAATGTTGCATTTTATTAAATGGATTGTAACAATAAGTATAATTACGGCTTTTCTCCACTATTTTTAACTCAGTTTGAAACTTCAAATGCGATATAATTTTGGCTTGGACCATCTAAGCCGAGATCTAAGCTGACTGACATCAACTTGTTATAATTTCTGTTTACATTACATCGTAATTCGATGACACTCTGGCTCAGACACCAGAATGTTTTGACGATTTTTAGCATTCGTTTAGGATTTTCAAACAACCTGGTCTCCTTTAAAATACTTTTAATTTGTTCTTACGTGGTTTTCCAGATGTAGTGACGACAACATTAAAGTTTAAAGAAGAAAATTCTAACATTTAAACCGACTAAACAATAACATAGTAAACTTGCATAATTAAACAGCAACTAAAAATGATAGGTTTTACTAAATCTTTTCCTGTGCAATTATTACTAGCATTGGAGACAAGCATAATAGTTTGTTTGAAAGAGAAAAGAACAGGCTTTGAAGTAAGCCTAAAAGCGTTTAACTAGAAATAGTATTTCGAAAGTTATTAAGCACAAAAGATGAATTGCGTTTATTTTGATACACCCTGTATAGCTAATACATAAGTTTTTACTGATCACGATAGAAAAGAATACCGTTTATTTTTATAGCTTCATACCTTTTCGATTATGTACAGATGGTTGAACTCAGAGTTACGTATGATTTCATCAACGTCAGATGTGTCTTGTAGTGTCTTATTGTTGAGCTCACACAGACCTTTACCGACGCCAAAAGTTTTATAATTGACTGACACACAAGATTCATCTGCAACGCAATATATACCGCATTCTAACTCGCTTCCTGCCTGTTTTGTTTCGATGACATGACTCGCCAAGTATTTTTGTTTATTTATGTGAAAGATGGGTTGTCTAATTGAGCATTCGCCTGGTTGTGGTATTTTCCAGGCGAAAATTAACGCACAAATGCTTAGTAAGCCAGCCATTGTAAGACGGACGATAAGCTTCTGAAGGCACGGTCTTAAATTGCTAGTTTATTCACGACTATATGCAGGATGATTAAACATATATTACTAGACGATTAAAAAATTGCATCCACGAAAGCCGGCTTTTCAAGTGGCATGTCATCTCTCATTTTCTCCGCAACATGATTGGCTGTTTGGCCGTAATTGAACTCATTAAGATACACTTATCAAGAAATGTGAAGTTGTCGGTTTAAGTTCTTTCCGCCTCTGTCCATAAAAGGAAAATCTTCAGTATCATTTATACAAACATTTCTTAAAGTTTAATTTTGCTTTCCGCAAATGTCGCGATGTTTTAATTAGGCTTATATATGGTAATAATTTTCTTAATATATAAAAAATAATTAATAATTTTTTATTAGTATAGGTACGGCGGCTCGTCCAATATTGGCAAATTTCCAAACATCACGAGTACTATTAATCCCTAATTGTACGAGCAACATCGCATGATTACTTTTTTATTATTAGCACATGACAAAATTGGATACTTCTCCGTCAAGATCATATTCTCTCGCCAAAGCCCAGTTCTGCCAGACTTTCAACCAAAATTTGGTACTTTTAATTGTTCGTATTTTCATTTAGTTCTTTTGTTAAAGCAAAATTTGGTGCTTTTGTTCGTATTTTCATCTAGTTCCTCAAGGGCAATTTCATTTTACATTTGTGTTTAAAATACCTTTCCGCCATTTTGTTTGTTTTGACAAAATCATTAATTGTTCATTAATTGTAATGCAGTACAATTAATGATGGTAATAGAACGAATAGGAGTGCTATTAATGCCATAATAGCATAGTTGCCCGGGTTTCTTTTGTTTCAACAGGGTCGATTACTAACTAATCGCCCGATGTAGCGGGCGATTAGTTCTAATCGCCCGCTAGAGCGGGCGATTAGAACTAATCGCCCGTTACCAAGGGTCACACCTTTGTCTCCCTGACGACTACGCATTAGGCAAGTGCCTCACGCAAATAATCGTGCAAGGAACAGCAACAGTTAGCTCAGAGCCGTCAATAGTCTATCATCCGATCCCTGAGTTGCCGCATCATTTAAATTACGCACGTGCAGTCTCCAAATTTATACTAATATATTTAACGTTTTTGTTGTGGTACGTTAAACGATAGATTGCGCATGCGTAACCAATTAAAGCGTAAAAAGTGCGCATGTGCAACAAGCTTTTACATCCCACAAGCAATGAAGCAAATGTTTTAGCTTAAATACGCTGATTCCAAGTGGGGCATGTTTGTCCATTTTTAAATGGGAGCGCAACTATGCTATTACAAACTAATAGCATGGCTTTTCGGGAGATTAGTGATTAAATGACCCCTTACCCTCGGCAGGTTTGCGGAATTCCCTCGGGCTTCGCCCTCGGGAATTCCGCAAACCTGCCTCGGGTTACGGGGCCATTTAATCACTAATCTCCCTCAAGCCATGCTATTACTTATAATAATCGTACGAGTGATTACAAAATCAACCGACCGCGTAGCGGGAGGTTGATTTGTTAATCACGAGTATGATCATGGCATTAATAGTACGACTTTAATTCGTTCTATTACTTATTAATTATTTATCTTCTGTAATCAAACTGTTTAAGGGGGAAAAGCAGAAAAATACAATTTGGTGAAGTTCAATATAATTATTAAATTTTTGTCACGACAATTCTTAGTGAAATAGTACAATTTTGAATTATTGTTTATCATATATAATCAAATTAACATATTATTAACTTCCGGGCATTATTTCCGGTATAATCACATGACAACATTGTTTGAATTATTCAACACACAATTGGGAAGCCATGTTTGTATGTTTATAACGTGTTCAAAATAGTGAAGTTCTTTAGCCCAATTAATCATCTGAATTGGATTGAAATATAACTCCTGGTTGTGTTTAGTTCGGTGTCTTCTGCTGGATGAACAGGTAGGTCATTTTCGTCAGAAAATATATAATTTAACAACCCTCGAAAACGAGATCTGCATTCGGCAATGCCGACCTACAGTATTAAAATGCCGACCTATCACCCTCCCATGTCGGCAATGTTTTGCCGACCTTAATTCAGCCAAAGTAATAATCTTTTTTGGTGCTTATAGCTGTTAAAAAGTCAGCGATTATAGAATTCGATGCACTTTGGTGTAAGGTTTAAGAATTAACGGGTATATTTATGATGTAAATTAGGTAAAACTCTAAAAGAAAAGGCTTCGTGACATTTATACTTTTCAATGATCGATCGTAAATACGTGATTACTAGTGCAGGCTACTAGTGCTCCAAGACATGGAAACAGATTTTAAAAAATGCCGAGATGCACCGAGCTAGGTCAGGTTAGGTCGGCATTTTTTTTTTCGACCTCAATTTTGACGGTTTTCGAGGGCTGATTTAAAATTAAAAGGTCAAAATTTGTGAATTCCTCCATTTTGAAATTTTTTACAGCAATAAAGAAAATAAAATTCAAAGTTTGTATCCTGAATGCTGATTGGCTAGTTGTAAATACTAGACTGATTTTCATTGGCTGTAGACAAGAGTGCGATTACAGCTCAGAAAAGGTGCGATTAATGCTCAAATCGCACTCCTGTAAACCAATGAAATTGCAGTATTTGCCACTGATTACAGAAGATAAATAATTAATGAAATAATTGTACTCCTCTCAACCAATCAGCATCCAGTGATCATGCTAATAATAAGTATAATTATAATACGGTGCAGGGTTGTGGGGGGGGGGGCACAGTATAGTTTGTCCGAACAGGCAAACTCTCCCTATGTAAAGGAATCCGGATTCCGGAATCCAACAAAAATTTGCACTTCGGAATCCGGAATCCATGACGTGGAATCCGGAATCCATTGACTCGAATCCGGAATCCATTATTTTAATCATGGAATACGGAATCCAGGTTTCATACTTTATAAAATGTAATGGTTTTGTAGTGTGACACTCATAGAAATATTAGAAATGCCTATTATTTCTATGGTGACACTTCAAAACGTAACGTACAGTACGTGATCAGTATTGTAATACAAGTATCCCCGCGTTATAATATGTATACATGAAGTATTGTTAATGAAAGCAAACAAACTAACTCTGAATTATGGCACGCGGGCGCGACAGGAGCGCGAAATTTGTTGAAGCCTCGCTGAAATAGTCGAATATCGGAATATTTAGTCGATCGAAGTCGAATTACTGGTTCGTTCGAAGCACTGATCGTTTTCTACTATTTTTGCCAAGATATTGAGTCGAATTGACATATATTTATAAAACAGTATTCAAGGAAAAAGTTAGGAAATGGGAAAGCACAAGAAACAAAGAAGAGAGAACAGTGATGATCGGAATAGGCGAGTATATCATAAATATTTAGCACTGTCGTTGTTCTCATGTATATTTAATAATATTAATATATACAGTAAAATATTAATAATAACCGATCCTTGTTATTTTTATTATCTTTAATATGAAGCTAGAGGTGAATTATAAACTTTAGGAAGCTGATATGTAGAAGTACATATTTAAACATGTAGAATACTAGATGACCTAGAATGATTAAAAAGCCTGCAAGAGGAGCCGGTACTCAGTATCCAGTCGTTTCAAAAGTGCTTGTTAGATAAGGACCTCGAAAGATCATTGTCACTTCTCAAGCTTCCGGGACTTTATTGTGTTAAATTGTGTGCTTATAACATATTGAAACATACACGTCATAGATGTTGAATCTGTGGATATTTCACACATGTAAAATAATCTATAATGATGTAATACTATATCAGTTGTCCCCAAAGTCTATAAAGCACGTGTGACACATGAATGTACTGTAAGACTGGGGAGGGGTCTATCATTGTTTCTCTCCAGAGCATGTGTCTCTGTCTCACTACCCTTGAAAGATTTCAATTAAAGATATGTTAATTAATTTAGTGTGGTTATGTTACCAGGAAGTTTCATTGTAGTGGTAGTATGTTGCACTGGTAAAAATCTTTATTTACAGTTTAAAAAACGTAAAATAAAAATCAAGGTTTCGGACTAAGCGTCCATCGTCAGGATTAAAATGGCAAAAATGATTAGTCGCTTAAATACTATTTACATGTCAATGACCTAACTAAAATATTAGGTTTTTTGAATAATTAGACTAAAAGACAAAAGAGTCATAATAGAGTCATATAAGCGTAATATAGAGTCAACAAAAGAGCCATAATAAGACACTGGATAAAAGAGTCATAATAGCGTATTATAGCGTCAACAAAGCATTATTTAGTCTTTATCAATTAGCGTTCTAAATATAATCTCTATAATACGCTATTATGACTCTTTTATCCAGAGATATATATACACTGTAGTGCATAGACGGATTTTCATATTTATTACTGGGGTGGTGCCAGAAATTTTAGGGGGGTGAGCCGTGAGCAGGTGACTGAAGCAACACAAAGTGTCACCAAACCCCAGTAAGGTCTATATTCTAGGGGTGGAGCACTAGAGCCGCGAGGGGGAGTCTAGACAGCAGAAAACAAAGTATCCCAGGAAATATTTGAAAAAAATCATGATTTCTAGTTTCGAAAAAAAGTTTTTTGAAGTTGTCAATTTGTCATATCAATGGATTTGGCATGTCTGATTGTCTGTTAAGACATAAGAGAGTTAAAGACTTAAAGTTAAATAAACCTGTAAAAGTGTAAACCCAATAGGCCAATACACAATATGCTTTTACTTTTATAAAGTCATTGACATTGTGTTTATGTGTTGTTTGAATCCAAGTACAATTTATGATGCAACTGATGTAAATAATATTTGGGGTGTAAGGATTAAATCTAGGCAAGTCTATTTCCTAAAATAATTAAAAACTACAAATAGTGTTCGTAAAAATTCCAAACGTTTTAATTTCTTGCGTGCAAGCTATTCGCATGACAATTGACAAGGCATACTGCAAACTCTATTCAGGGAAGATAATGGAGTTTCAAAACTTTACAATTGCTCCAATAAACCAGTGAATGCAAGCGAGGAGTGATTACTTTCAGAGTGGTGCACTGTATTTTTCTGTTCGAGTGTACTCCTACGTTTATTTTGTATCATCAACACTCTGCACGTTGGAGTGGACTATTTAATTATTTATTTGTTGTGCTGAATATTGGGGGGGTTGAAATTTTTTTTGGAGGGGTGGACATTGTGTTGGGGGGGGATTATAGCTAATATTGGGGTGGGGAGCACCCCCTGCACCCCCAGAAAATCTGTCTGGGGGTGCAGTGTGACTATATATATATATATATATATATATATATATATATATATATATATATATATATATATATATATATATATATATAT